CTACTTGGTAAGGGCCAGGCGAAATCGAACTGAATCGTGGGCTTATTCATCTTATTGTTGGAAAATTCATTATCAATCTCATCACTTTAAGCGACCTGGGCTGACCAGAGCTCTTATTACTTATCTACCGATAGTCTGGGAGTCGAATGCAAGTAATAATTCCACTTGCATCGGAAGCTGTTTAAAGTGTGCCATTTACTTTTTCTTTAAAACGGGACTCAAACCAGGTTCAAATGCAAACCTTAACGTTTTTTACTTGAAACCGTCCTCCAAAGTAAAATAAGGGCTTCTTTTGGAGGGGTTACTCCATTAAAACTACTCAAGATTTACCCAAACTTAACCCTTCCTATAAAGACCTGCTTCTCTACCAGAGTAAAGGAATATTGAAATATAATGTCAGTATAAATTGATGCCGCATCGAAACCTCTCAATTAGTCTTCCTTGACAGCTGTTTCCTATACGATTATAATGGCTTTTACCTTAAAATAGCTGATTTTCACTCAATTGCTTTATTTGCCTGCATCAGAATTGCCAAATTCTAGAAAGTGCACTTTCCCTAACACTAACACTTAACCTCTTCTAATAAATAAATAAATAAATAAATAAATAAATATGTATTAATCAAGGGAAATTTAGTTTTAAATCCTACCCGCAGCCCAGGAATTCCTTAATGCAACTACGTGGTGACATCGCCTTACGAATCACTTGGTCAAACCGTACCACATTGAAACGAAGATCAGCTGACCAATGATAATTAAAGTGATGCATACAGTTACACTTTCAATAAGCATATTAATAAACAGACAAATACACGGAGCTGGGTGCCGATGCATATGAGGTGAAGGGAGACGGATGAGCACAGAGCTCGTCAACTATACAGACAATCAAATAGAAATGCAGACAGTTGAACAAGCGTACAAATAGGGATACAGACGTACGAGCAGATGTTTGTTTATTAATTATCTGAAGACAATGCTTTTGCATAAATTGCCTTTGTTCCGACAGGACGTCTTCAGCATCCGACTGGACTCAGCTACCTGCTTTCTGGAGCCACTTCACCGATTCGTGGTGGAAGTGCTGAATCCTGGATTGAAGGCTCAGCAATCTTTCCTCGGGCAACTGCCTCAAGTTGAGCTGAGGAACTACTACGACTACGTGGAGGATAGTATGAAGAGCTTTGCAAGTAAGTGATGCTTAAAATAAGATCTTAGTCTTAGGTGGAAATTTCCCACATTCAAGTGACTAGACGAAAGACGTCAGTGAATGACCCAAAGTCCTGTTCACCAAAAGATGTCCTTATTCAGACTAGATTGCAGTTTCGATTTCGTCTAATCGCCTCATCTCACTCTCGACGGGATTCGAGACTGTTTCTATAGGGATTGTCGACGGTGCATCGAGTTATTTTCGATTACAATCGATGCTGTTATTTATTTTCAATGGAAGTATATTTCAATATTATCCGTCATGCCTGAATATCAAATTAGTCAATCTGGTTCGCTCCATTCAATTTGATGAAGCCTTGCTTCCAAAAAGGTTTTCTCTTCCCAACTCGACTGAACTTCAGTTTCAACTTCACCTGAACTGTGCTCATCTGCGCCCTCGGCGGGACTCGAATCTGGCTTGTGATTGTGCAGCATACAGTCTCGACACGTTGATGAGACCTGGGGGAGGTGGAAACTACCGTCCACTCCAGCTGGGATGAGAATATCTTTTTAGAAGTAAGGCCTTGCAAAATTGAATGGAAAACTGAGGCCTACTCATCAGATTGTGGGAAATGTCAACTACCCGTCCCACATTAGCCTAAACGAAATACGGGGACTACAGCTTCTACACCAGATCTACGAGTAGTCTCGAAAACTAGCTTATGAAGCGAAAAATGCTGTTTTACAATTACATCCGATTAGACCATTCATATTTCAGAAAAAGTAGTTTTTCGAAATTATTAGTCACCATTGGTCTCATATGGGGATAGAGTACTACTCATATGAGAATGGGAAACTTCAAGTATGAGTCTTTCATCCCTTATGCGACATGGAATGACTAATAATTTAACAAACCTACCTACTCTGAATATTAGTAATGTAGTGTAGTCCCGTTGGGGATGTTCATGAGCCCCAGGCAAAGTCGAAACTTTCGTCCACTCCGAGCGAGAATAGATGTTGGGAGATAAGGCCTAGTGGAATGTAATGACACCTTAAGACATACTCATCTAATTATTTAGAAATTAATCTGTCATTCCTTCATCACTTGAAGCGATCTGTGATGAATACAATTTTTATTCAAAATTAAGTGA